CCATCAATCCAAGGATTAGCTGACCAACTCAGTTCATCTGTAACGAGAATTTCATTATTTGCTGAGCAACTGTTTTGCCCAGATTTTATCCACTATTCTGGTGGAGATGTTTCTATGACTTACCAGTTCGATCAATTGCGTTTAGAGGTCACCCTTTGCCAGTGAGATCTATAAGCTCTGTGATTCGCGCCTATTGAATGCGCGCATGGATGGGACGATCAATTGCGTGTTCGTAACTTAGTGACGTTTACAAAAGTGGTCAGTCATTTCTTAAGACCTGCTTCGAAATCTTTGGACCACCGACCGAGATGAAAATTCTAACCTGTTAAGCTATTTAAAAAATGTTTGGAATGAACTTTCGTTTGTGACGCGACTGCAGTTCAGGTTTGGACTCTGATTCACCACAATTTGTCGTTTTGTAGCCATGAAAAGTGTACGTCTAGACAGCTTACTTTACAGAGGGTCTCAATGGGGTCGAATGTTAGCCATAAAGAGTCAAAAATTTGGCCGTAAGACTTAAAAAATTAAGAAATTCTAACCGTTAGCAGTAAAAAAGGTTAACCATAAAACCTTACTAATCTACGATGTGTCATTTTGAGAGTACCGTAACAGAAAGAAATTAACCATTAGCCGCAAAAACGGTCAAAGTTTTAACCGTTGGCTGTAAAAGCCACCACCCCATAGAGACAAAAATGCAGAATTAGACGACGCCTAATTCAGAGCCGTATTTCAACTTCTAAAAACTGTTCACCACGTTCGGATTTGAGCTTCTGACTTCCCAAAACCTAAAATTTCCTCAGCTCAGATTTCAGATCAAAGTTTAAACGCCACCGACTTCAAAAAACCCCTTTTTCATCTTATTCAGTATTTCACGGATTAGTGTCCCAAACAGAAAAATACTTAATGAAATCCACGTTACTATAATCTTTGTAAACTTTGCTACCCCCGCTGTTGCAATGACATCTTGATTACAAATTATATCGCTCAAGAGCGTCAGGAAACCTGTACATTTTGAATGTTACTCTCACGTCTATAAAAACACAAACTTAATGTAAGTGAATGTCAAAGGCATCTCACCAAATTCACTTCCATTCACAGCTTTTCCATGTAACTGGAGCAGATGCAGAAAAACTAGAAGGGACGTTAAGGCAGTTTGAACGCGGTCGACCCTCATTTGACTCTGTTAGACCGACCCTCGACAGAACTTCGTCATATAAAACACCATCCTTCTCGAAATATTTTCCTTTTGACAGCAAAAACTACTTTTTTGAAAAAGAAAAATGCGCCTAAACGCAAGTCCTGTAATAGAACATCGACGGAAGATTTACACAAAAATTACAACCGTGACACACTGAATGGTCCAGTAATTCAAAATTTTTATTTTTCTTGAGTACCTGCTCAATGTAAATACACAAACAAAAGTTCGCCCAATGAACTGGTCATTGTTTGGTAAACAATTTTTAGCAATGATTTCAAGCACCAGCTTGATTTTGTTAGCTTTGCTAATACCGATGTTATTTCAAATCGCATGAAAAACCTTTCTTACTTCAAAGTAAGCTTACAATTAAACGTCGTTTGCTCGGCCATCATGGAGCAGAAAAATGCGGCCGCCTGGGATATAGTCATGTAAAGACATCAAGCTTGCAAGATAGACATGCGTGGTTTCATTCAGGCAAATATTTGATTGCGGCTCATGACCAGGTAGGCGGGATAAGATTGATTTTTAATTACCCAAAAGACTTCACAAATATATCATGTGGTAGAATTCCTTATCTTGTGGGAGGAGAGGGTGGGGCAGTAAACGAATGGCTGTAGAAGTAAACGAAAGGTCACGGCTAGTCATTACTGGTATGGTAGACCGTTCGGAATTTACAGGGTTTAAGGTAGGGAAATGATTGACCTTAAACAAGGGACAAAGTGGTCGAAATAGGATGGTAGTTGTTGGAAGGGGCTAATAGTGGCTATGCTGATAATCTGTTAAATCTATCAGTCATCGCTTAAAGGCTGTTATGAAAACTACTGTTAATGATGAAAGGAAGAAACAGCCTTAGCAGCCATCATTGTGTGTTTAAAGTTTCAACAGGGCTAACGTTTAGAGATAGTTTTCACCATAACCTAGGCCTAAGAAAGCAGTTACTCCAAGAAATGCTTATTGCATGTTACAGTATCATGAATGAAAATAGAGAAGTCTCATTCTTTAAAGTTAGCGGAATTATAACCATTAAAAGTATTACAAATGTCATTTAGGCAGAGTTCACCCTTAACTTTGTTCATAAGCAAGCGCTTATTCGTCAGCGTCGGCAACCTAACCTATATCTTTGACTTTCATCACTTTCAATTACATATTTTTCTGTAAAAAGCTTGGATTCAAAAGATCGATAGGCAAGCTGTTGTCTTAAATTAAATCAAGCTTAAGATATCATGATGACATCAAATAAATATAAGCATATTTGTAAGCTTTTATGCTTAAAAATATGGACGAAAGTTATTTCTTTACTCTTTCTACCCGCTATTTTCTTGAAGCTATTTACAGCTTGTAGTAGATTCTGAAAAATTAATCTTATATTTCATATGACGGCGGTGTATGTTGAAGATGTAATTTATGGCCCCTTCTCGGGTCCACAGGAGGAAACCGTTTTTGTACATTTTTGTTCGTTGTACAATCAGAGTCACAAGCACGGAACATCTCGCTTAGTGTATCAGACTCTTCCTTTTTATTGACGGTTTCCTCTCCCATTTCACAAGATATCTCTACAGATTCCTCAGATTCTGAACTTTGCTGGTCTCCATCTTCCACCCGAACAGAGAACTCGGCAATGGTTTTCATTTCTGCCTTCTCGAAAAACGCGTAGTTTAGTGCTTTCTCGTAGAACACCTCTCTCTGGTAAGAATGAAAGTGTGACGTTTGCAAACCCTCCATGGAGAAGTTGCCCTTCCTCAAATCGAGGTTCGCGGTGTCGAGGTCAAAGTCGCTTGGGTTCGATTCTCCCTTCATTTTTCTTCTCTTTTCCTTCATTGCAAGAATGATAGCTTGGACAACGTCAGGAACACGTAGATAATAGGTGGCAAGAACCACAAGGATGATAAATATGATGACCAGAAAAGGCGTCAAGTGCCAAGGGAACTTCAAAACTGGTGGTCTGTCTGGTTTACTTGTTGGACCTGAGGCTGGAGAAGAAAAATTGTGTTTGTCAACTGACCATCAATTCTCCCAATTCAGATAAAACATAAATTTAGAAAAGCCTTAAGGCACCAGGGGCCCCAATTCTTTTGCGCACGTCCGATTAATGCACTTAAAGGTTACAAATATTCAGCACCTTCCATCTCACGTTTTTTGTCTTCTACTCTACTTCACTGACTTGGTTTTAATGTTCTTTTCGTATCACTCTTTGATTTCTATTACTGGCAATCCCGTGACAATTTTTCCAGTGTTTTATGTTTTGGGCAGAGAGATGCGAGAGTAAACGTTTTACGTCATTTAGTGCCCAAGAACATAAAACATTGGGCTTAGCCAAGAATGACGAAGGATCGAAACTCAAAATCTCAGGTCCGGTTCGCTATTCAGTAGCCCGCTGTATTTCGTACTTAATTATGAGCTCGGAATTTCTATCGCATGATTGCTATCACGCTTTTCAATCTAGAGCGAACACACTTATCGTTTTAATGTAATGTAAATCTGCAAGTTGTTCACATCTTAATGCGGGACAAGCTCGTCTTTTTCTACGTAATTTTTGTTAAGAACCTACACTGTTAGTCGATTATTACCTACCTACTTTCTCTCAAATTATGACGGAATGAATGGCCAGTGGTTCAGCCAATCAAATTGCAGCATTTGTGATATAGCGTCAGTAGATTTATGATATTTACCGTTACTTCTATAACGAGAAGTTAATAAAAAAGTATATACGTGCCATGTCACTCACTACCTTTTGTACAGTCTGCGGTTATTTCGAAGCTTTAGTTATCCTCATACGTACCTACGATTATTGAAGAGGCAGTTGACACAGGTGACGATGTCTGGGGGTCTTGAAAGGAAGTGGGAAGGTGCATTTCAGTAACGAGTCGTCCATGAGGAGTCGATGATGGATCAACTCCTGAGTGCAGTTTTTCGCCGGACAAATGTGGTTGCGATGATGTGGTTCTGATCAGACTAGCTCTGAATCCCCATAAAGTGATATGAGCGATCGCAGTTGTCAAAGGAGGTTGAAGCCCTTGATGAGTTGATAACAAAGACATTCCGCCAGAAGGTTGACCGTAAGTCTCGCTTGTGAAAGGCGCTTTGCTGTCTTTCCAAAAGGGAAGCGAAAAAATCGCGGTAGGTTGGATTCCCTGAGAAATGGCAGAGACCAAACCTGCAGATTCTGTTATAAAAAAGATTCTGCTATCTTTCCCGGAAGTAGAAGGGCTGGAAAGAGTCATGATAGATTGCTGTGAAGAAAGACCGCTAATTGCATTTAAGCCACTGTTTCCCAGAGGGAGGCTTGGAGTATCTCTTTTGGCACTGCTAAGAAACACATCTGTTTCTAAAGTAAAGGAAGATGGGCTTGTCTCAAGGACCAAGCTGTGTGAATGTCCTCCCATCGTCGAAGGACCTAAATAATCGAGAACAAAATATGATCATTTACTCTCACTTCTAGGCTTTTGAAATAACTTCGTAGACTCTACGATGTAAGAATGGAAAGGCTCGTTCCCGGATTTTCCTCGTGGTGTTACCAGTAATATCAAGGAAAGATAGGAAATCTCCGTGGAGAGGAGATATTGTAAAGAATCAACCCTGGGAGAGAAATCAACGATGATACGCCTACGTTTGGCCGTAAGTAAGAAAAAATTCATCTAGCACGCGATTAGTGTGACTCGGCAACTAGCTTTCTGAGAAAAATACTGATGTTATAATGTACCACCAACTGATAATACTTACTCTTAGGAACTAAAAAAACTCAGGAATTAAAAAAAACTGGAAAGAAAAGCCTTAAAGCTGAACGAAGAAGTCAAACCACGAGACGAGACTTCTTTTGGTTTATTTATTTCTGTTCTCGGAAAGTTTATTAGTAGGCCTCGATTTCTTGTACTCGTAGGGTTAGTCCTTGGCAAACAAAATAAGACTATGAAATTTTACCTGACGCCTTCGAAAAAGATGATAATTTGGCGATAGTGGCCTTCTCGATGAAACCTTTGTTAGGAAAAGTGGTTCTATCTATACTTTGTATAATGGGCAAAGCATGTCCGTATGTATATGTGTCGCGTAGAAAATCAGAGGAAGAACGTGTTGAGACGCTAACGACAGAGTTGAAATGTTGGAAGTTGTTTGATGATGCAAATGATGAATGATTGGATTGTGTCGTCAACGTACTGTCATGGTTTTCCTTTAGTAAGAAAAGTTTAGAAGTAGAAAGCGAGGACTTATTTGCATCGGAAATGATGCTTGTCAGACGGGTTTGGATATGAGCTATATTATCTGGTTTACTGAGTTGTACCATCTGCATAGATCTCTGACGTAAACTGCTATACTCCAAATGCACTGAATAATCCATGTGGCTTGGTCCCAAAGAATATTTGTTAGAAGAGTCGCCATTGATTGAAAAGTCTACTGTAGAGGCATGAGAGGTGTCCACGGTATTTGGGTTTGGATTTGCAGACAACAATGTGTTTCTGTCCACGGATAGTGAAGACTTTATAAAAGTACTGTCATTTACCAGTAATACGAAGCCATCTTGAGAGTTTTCTTCGGTGGAAGGAATAAATGTACCAGAGAGGACTGAGAACTGAAAACTTACGCCGGAAGACAAGGACGCAGGATGGCGAACATTTAATGTGTTCATAAGGTCGTTTCTCGCTTTTTCAGATGTATTAATGTCCTTTGCAGCTGAGTCGATATTTGTAACAATGGACTCGTTAATTGCAAATACTGAGTGTGTGTGCAAATAGGGCAAAGTCGAAAGTCTATTTTGGGTGGAAGTATCCGTCGTCCTTGTGCTCAAATCAATTCTGCTGCGAGCATGGTTTGTTTGAGTAACGATTTTGTCACTGAGAAAGGAAAAACTTGATATGCTAATTGTCTCCAACGTAGAATATCCTGTGTTGTGATGTATGTGTTGAACTGTTGTTATTGTTACAGACTGTAAGACCTGGAATTTCTCTGGAGATAACTTGACAACAGAATGGCTAGGAAGTGTTGACTCAAGCGAAGTACCTGAAGATACTGTGGATTGTGTGACAAGGTAAATACTTTTTGCTGTTGAGCCATCATATGGAATTGAAGGTATGATCACGCCATAAGAACTTGGCACGTTGAGATAACTTGACAAAAGACGAACCTGAGAAGGACTCGTAGAGAGTCCAGTATTAAGTTGACCTGACGACGGTATAAAGCTGGCACTATAGTCACTAGGAGGTCGTGTGTTAAGCGATTTGTTTGCCTGGAGTGCTACGACCAAATTGTTTGAAGAAAGCGAAACAGCACCGCCTAAATATTGTGACAATGTGGAAAAGGGCTGACGTAGTTCACCCATAGAGTAATTTGAAATAGGTGTTCTTCCAGATTGCCGTAAAGACGGTGTGACACGAGAATTACTCACAGAAAGCGTGAAATCAGATTGACGTAAGAAGATTGCAGCAAAGGAATGACTTGGAATTGGTGAAGTGTTGTCTTGACTTAAGTACAAAGTTCCACTGAAGTGACTTGACATTAACGGAATGCTGGGAAGACTTGACGTAATGTTGGCTCCACTAGTAGATAGTAGGATAGTGTTTGACAGTGATATAATGCCTGTTGATTGAAAAAAATATATATATTGTAAAGGTCAAGTCTAATTAGGTGAAACAATTTATCACATAGATATTAATGAATTACCAGAATTTCTCCTCTTTCAAAAACAAAATATCTACATGTTTAAAGCCATCCCTTCGCTCAATGATACTGGGGCCTGACCTTTAATTTTGTATCGTACACAGGCGCGTAGCGTGGTCATTTTTTCAAGTACGCACAAGTACATATGATCTTGAAACTAAGTAAACTGAGCGAAAAAATAGAAACAATTGCTAAAAATTTCAAAATTTTCTGGTCACTTCAAGTACGCACGTGCGTATATGCGTATAGGACGCTACGCGCCTGGTACAATCCACACAAACATGTGGATACATAATAACGCCAAGGAGTCAGCTTCTTTACACATTTCTGTATTGGGTAAATTCATAAGCCTGTCATCTTAGTCATACATATACTTTAAGGCCAAAATAGCAGTCCAAGGCTGCTTACTTTATAGCTTGCCTTTTATCATATTTTATTCCTTTTTTGGGGAGGGGAGGGGGCATGAGAAGTAAAGAGACCTAACGTTACTACTATTGGTGCCAGAATACCTATTCTGTGGTTGCAACAAACTAGTTTATCTCGCATCATCATTCAGAATGTCAGATGATCAACTGTAGATTTTTGGCCCCACCAACGTTTGCCTCGACAAATAAAGTGAACGATTAACTCAATTAATTCTCTACTTACTACAGTTTCGCCTCTCTGTTTCTGCTACGTCACTGCAAAGCAGTTCCAGTCCGCTTTCTGGTAAAGGATTTATGCACGTTCTGCTTCTAGTCTGGTTTTCATAGCGGGAACACTCCGTCCATTCTGTCCACTGCGTCCAATATCCTCTGACTAACGACAAATGATGTGAGCACATCAGGGCAGTCACGAGGGACATCAAATGTTGCAGCGTCGAGAATTATGTCAGGGTGCACACGACGCTTGTCTGTTTGACTTTTTCCCTTTTTTGTGCAGTTAGGTAACTAGTCCAGTGAAGGTTATATGAGGTGCAGAGTAATCATCTATGTCAAGTTTGTGCGTGTCAGTTATCTTAATGAAAGAATTAAGCCTGTGATTTACTGGTGCTTTATGTGCTACCAAACCAGTTTGTTTCTTATTTCCCCTAGGGAGTTATCTCACAGTCTTTAAAAGATCATCAGAGATAAAGGTAAAGATATTTAAACTATAAATCTAGGAACTTGAAAAACTGTTCTAGTAAAGGCAGAGGATAGCTCTCTCCTTCCACCCAAACCCAGAGCCAGCACTGGTTGTAACGGGGAAAGAGAGGATCAAATCAAGAGACTGCATTGTCAGTACCGGCCTTATGCCTTCCAATAAGTTATTTATTATATAGATTTAACCAAGCCTAAAAGCGGAGCTCCCAAGTTCGTAATATCAATGATAACATAAAAGATGTGCATTTGCCAAGACTTTCCTGAGACACCCCTCCCTTCGTTTTGATAGTCTCCCCTACCCTACCCGTGCAATCTGAAGGCACGTACGTACGTACGTACGCTCGGTCAGTCACGTGACAACCAAACGAGAAGCGGTTGACCATATTCCATGGGTATGGGGCTCTGCCCCACGCGCGCTTCGCGCGCGTGGGAGCCCCGCTATAAACCAACCTTTCTATCTCTTTACCAGCTAATAAACCGCGAGGAATGTTGGGAAAACACGAGAAAAGTTTGTAAACTACGAGGTGCAGCCGAGTGGTTTACAAATTTTTCGAGTAAACCGATAGGAAGCGTAGTTTATTGCTTTTATGACATAAATATGAGTGAAGTTTGTCAGAAAGAATGATGAATTTAATCTTGTTTTGATCAAGTCACTGATTCTCATGAAAACCATGAAAAGGGCGATAAACTAATCTAAGAGCTGGAAACTGGAGAGCCAGAAGAGCGAAGACTTTAATTAATTTATCGCTTAATGAAAGCAAAGGCAGGGAGAAACTGAGCAGAAATTGAACTGAATACAAACGAGAAAAGGCGATTGGCACGATAAAGGCACAAGCTACAGAAAGCTACCGAAAAGTACTTCAAATTGAACGGAGAAAATGCGATATTTGTGGCCGAAATTAGCCTACCATTATGATTAAAATATGATAATCTGTAGGGAAAATTTTTAGAGTTTGCAACGTAGGAAGCAGTTTGATATTTTCCGGAGGTTTTCAGCGAAATTAAGGTCAGTTGTTGAATTTTAATTAGTGAAATTTATTTCGATTATAAGATCATTTGATTATAGATCATTTGATAACATAATTGGACCGCACCACGACAAAAGCGGCAAAATTCTTTGACGCTGAGTTTTGGCGTTGAAGAGTTGTCTTCGTTTCCTCCAGACCGAAGGCTGGGAATTCACCCCGTGTGGCGCCATTTAACAGGAAGGGCACTGAGTTTTGTTTCAGTTTTCTATGGGTATACCGGCAAATATACAATGGATATTTGACCACTCAGAGTGCATGTTGTCTGTAAGTTATGTCATAACTACAAATGGTAATTACGTCATGAA